ATTTTTATATTTATAAAAATACTTGCCTTCAGATCTCTCCCCTCTTCTGTCTATACCACTTTGTGAGTGTTCTTTTATGAAACCTTCCAATGGGCCAATGGTCCAACTTCAGCCTCAGGTCCATTCAATTCAACGTAATTTGGGCCCAGCCCAAACTTATGGTGTATATAATATATATATATATATATATATATATATATATATATATATTTTTGGAAATAATGGAATTTGCTCCTAAATGTAACAGTATTTCGTTATAAGGTTTGAATTTAGTTTTTATGATTTCACTTTGTTTTACAAATTATTCTTGCTATTGTTAAATTAGATAGAATTTTTAGGATAATACTCGACTGAAGACCATATCTTGTTCTCACCGCTCTATTAGTGGTAAGGACAAGATTCTTCGAAGCAAAGTATTTTCTAAAATTTTATGTGACAACTAGCTGATATTTGTGATTATATTAGTGTTTAAATGGAGTTAAAATAGAAGACAATAGGTAGATTCATTTTTTTTATAGATAAAAGATAGTTTTGGGGTGTTTTATAAGATTTAATTAAATTAGAAAGGTCAAATTAAAACTTCTAAAACTAAAAAAATTAAATTAAAATTTTTATAAAAATAGACTTGTGCCTTATGAAATGTAGTTTAAATAAATTAAAAGTTTTTACTATTTTTGCAAAATAGTAATTATACTACCTTAGGAGTTGATGTTCGGCGCAACTTTTCATTCAAACGAAACGATATCCAAAAAAAGAAGAAAAAAAACCATTTAAAAAATTGAGCCAAAAATTTAGCAGGCTTAAAAATGGTAACTGTTGGCTGGTAAATGGTGACCTGTTTTTTCCAAGTCTTATCCTAAAGCTGAAAAAGAAGAAGCGGCGTTGGGGCGATTTGTGCAGTGAGTGTCGATGAAGGGCAGAGGAAGCGCCACGTCAAATTGGAAAATTCAGGCTTCGGTTTGATCGGGCCAATAAGGACCCGACTCGCCTCAAATTCCTCACCTAACACCCGCTCCCTCACAGTCACAGCACAAAATTGGACGAACTCGTTTCTTGATTTGGCCATGGCGGATAAGAGCTTCAAGTATGTGGTTATCGGCGGTGGCGTTGCCGCTGTAAGTTTCTCCCTCCGTTCTCCTTCTCTTTCTAATCTCTTCTCTCAGAAATGTGCGCTTGTTAGGACCAATTCTGCGAAATTTCAGCATGTGAAGAACGCATCTAATTCTCAGATTTTTCCATTTTTCCTTTTCTGTTCAAACATTTCGTTGATGCATCTGCTTAATTACCGAGATCTTGGATGTCTCATTCTCCATCCTTTTCCCGATGGAATCAATTTTGTAAATAACATTAGATTCGGTGTTCAAACTTGGAAGTCCCTTTTACGTTTAGATGCGTTGTAGACTTGAATGTACAATTCATTTTTTTTTAATTTCTTTATGTCCATTATAGAATAATAAGCATACTAAAAGTTTTTGAAGTACTGCACCGTCCATGGTATTATATTAAGTCTAGAGTGAAGTTAAAGAAATTTCTAGAAAAATATTTACCTTTTGATTTGCATGCGGAATTTTGTATTATTTTTATTTTTTAAATTGGATTTTTAATTAAACTGAATTAGTTCTATTCACTTTTTTATGTTAGCGGTAAGAAGTGTTGGAGAGGAGAACAATTGAAAAATAAAATTACAGAGTAGGAAGAACCAAACTGAACCAGTTGGGTTGGTTCCTATTCTCCAAAAAATAAAAACCAATTCATTTCTTAAATTCCATAAAATAAATCGAATCTAACCGATCACCCCTCTGATTTGTGAGAAATTCCTCCATACAATATGATCGTCTTTATACAGCTCGTCATTTATTTGGCTTCTTAGGGATCTTTTTGGCAATACAGGGATATGCGGCTAGGGAATTCGTAAAACAGGGACTCAATGCGGGAGAACTGGCAATTATATCCAAGGAGGCGGTACGTAATCACTTCCCTGTTTGACTCATGTTTGTGCAAGACGTTTGTGCAAGACTTGTACAGTTTCAAATATCACTTCTTGGAAATGATTTCCTATTGCTTTTTTTAATGAACCCTTGGTAAACACTTCCTCATTTTACCTTTTAAAAGGGAATTGTTTATACTGTTTCATGGCCATTTGGCATTAACTTTCTGTTCAACCAACTATCAGGTTGCTCCTTATGAACGTCCAGCACTTAGCAAAGCCTATCTTTTTCCCGAGTGTAAGTTGCCTTTGGCTGAACTTTAAATTATAAGCCAATGTTCTTGCTTCCACCTCAATATTCGGTTTAATAGAAATGGTATTCTGTATGTTTTCATCTCATAGTTATTTGGTTTTGTAGCACCTGCTAGATTACCAGGTTTCCATGTATGTGTAGGAAGTGGAGGGGAGAGGCTGCTTCCAGAGTGGTACAAGGAAAAAGGTGAGGTTACTTCCTCTTTCATCATTTCATTGTTGATTCCTTCACTCAGAAGTAATCTAATGACTTCCTAATCAATTACTGGCAGGGATTGAGTTGATTCTCAGTACAGAAATTGTTGAAGCAAATCTTTCCGCCAAGATTCTCAGAAGTGCTTCTGGGGAAATTTTTAAGTATCAGATTTTGATTATTGCTACTGGTTCCACTGTGAGGGTTCATCCTTCTTTTGCGTGTTAGTACATACTGGATCATCTGCTCCACCATTACGTTATACTTTATTTCACTTGCATGTTTCAGGTTATAAAATTGTCGGACTTTGGAGTACAAGGAGCTGATGCCAAAAACATTTTCTATTTGAGAGAAATCGATGATGCTGATCAGCTTGTTGAAGCAATCAAAGCAAAGAAAAACGGGAAAGTGGTTGTTGTTGGAGGAGGATACATAGGCCTTGAGCTCGGTGCAGCCTTGAGAATAAACAACTTTGATGTCAGCATGGTTTATCCTGAACCATGGTGCAGTAAGTAGAGTTCATACAGTTCCTAGTTCTGGTCTTCCTCTTGCTTTAAATTCCCATGGAAATGTAACCTCTATTCTTGCAGTGCCTCGGCTGTTCACTCCTGGAATAGCTGCTTTCTATGAAGGTTATTATGCCAAAAAAGGAATCACAATCATTAAAGGAACGGTCGCTGTAGGATTTACTGTTGATGCTAATGGAGAGGTAAGACTTTAAGAGCACACCATCATACAACTCCGACCTAGTTAGAGACTTTTTCTATGCTGAAGCTATGCACGCCATGGAATGTTATTCAGGTTAAGGAAGTGAAACTTAAAGATGGCAGGGTTTTAGAAGCTGACATTGTTGTTGTTGGTGTTGGCGGACGGCCATTGACAACCTTATTCAAGGGCCAAGTTGAAGAAGAAAAAGGAGGCATTAAGGTGACTATTAACAAGTGCAATTACAAGTTAAAAACTTTTCAAGAAAGCTCATTACTCGTCTATTTAGCTGTTTTTACCTTTTCTTGTAGACTGATGGATTCTTCAAGACGAGTGTTCCTGATGTATATGCTGTGGGAGATGTGGCTACTTTTCCTTTGAAGCTTTACAATGAATTGAGAAGAGTTGAACATGTCGACCATGCTCGGAAATCAGCCGAGCAAGCTGTAAAGGTGGGAGAATTTTATCTTCCTCTCTCTCTCTCTCGACTGAATACTCTTAGTTTAAAACCTTTATCCTTTTTGTTGTAGGCCATCAAGGCAAGTGAAGAGGGCAAAACCATTGAGGAGTATGACTACCTTCCATACTTCTACTCTCGATCCTTCGATTTGTCGTGGCAGTTCTACGGGGATAATGTGGGCGACGCTGTATTGTTTGGCGATAGTAGTCCTGAATCTGCGAGTCACAAGTTTGGATCATATTGGATTAAAGATGGGAAGGTTGTGGGAGCGTTCTTAGAAAGTGGTAGTCCTGAAGAAAACAAGGACATTGCCAAGGTTGCAAGGATTCAGCCATCAGTTGAGAACTCAGATCTGCTTGCAAAGGAAGGTCTCTCCTTTGCATCCAAGGTTTGAAAACTTCTTTGATTCACCATTTACTGAATAAATTAAAGTGCTTAAACTGGATATTTAATCTACAATATGGATTCTCATTACTTTGGTTTCAATATGCCATTTGGCGGTTTCTGTAATTGGGTGCACTTGATGTACATTCTTGGAAAATTTAGCTGAAACCAAAAACTAATTTTATCATAGGTTTAGTATAAAGTATCGTTTGAGCTATGGAGACGTATAAAATGGTTGTAGATTATTGTTAAAAAACAATTATTGAATAAAGATAAAGCAATGAATCCGAACGAAAATGATTATTATTTTAAAAAAGAACAAATTATTTGATATAACCTAAATTCTAAAAGCAAAGTTTAGAAATTTTAAAAGCTTGAGAAGGTACAAAAGACACCAAATATTTATAGTGGTTTAGGTTGTAACCAAGTGTATATTTGTTCAAAGGCATCCTTGAACTATATCATACAATTACTTTTTTCCCCTTTGGGATAAAGCAATTCCTACCCAATAATTTTCATTGGTCAAGAATCTAATCTTAGGGCAAAAATCTCACCAACACAATTATCATTAGAGTAGATCCACATGTTTATTCTGATTGGGAAAAACAAAGACCAAATCACTAATTGAAGATGTAATTCTCAAAAGATAATAAATAGATCTAAAGTAAAAAGAGGTAGATTAAGGATTTTGAGACTTAAAAGTGAAAATTCCAATGAAGGAGAGATGCTTTAAATTGTGCCTGTTGGATTGAATTAAGCTAAAAAATGTTTTTTTTTATACGAAACAATACTTTGATTGAGAATAATGAAAAAGATAGGAGAACTACAAAAAAGGACCATCTGAAGGGCATACAAAAAACAGTCCATAAAGAGGGAGCTCCCTAAAGAAAAGGACTCTAATCCATGAAAAAAAGGTTTAAAAGGCCCTAGTTTAGGGTTTGACGCATTTTTGGGTATTGTTCTCAAGTGAAATTGTCCATAAGTTGAGTCCAACAAAAGGAGAAAATGGGGACAAAAACAAGAGAAATAGCAAAACTATACCAATTAGTGAGCAGAGAAGGTCAAATGATAAAGCATGTTCCTGTTCTCCATGCAAAAGATCATCAATCCAAGAAAGAAAGTAGTCTGATAATTTCAACACCCATGTCTAAAAGCAGAGTAAAGTTGCATATCTTTATCTATAGAAGCCTAATAATCTCCAAGAGAAGAAGATTTCAGGAACCCAATTCCTTACTCATCAAACAGAGTAAAGCAAATGTCCTGCAAAACAGGAAAAAGAAAAAGGGGGTCACAAAACAAATGATAAAATTGGTACTCAAACAACAAATCCAAAGTTACGAAGGGGATGTATTTACATCATCAGAATCCTCAACATCTTCCTTCTTCTCCTCTTTCTTAGCCTCAGCTGCAGCCAGAGCAGCCGTGGCAGCGGAAGCATCGCCCCCACCGGCAGTGAGCACACCAACAGCAGCTGCAACGACACCGCGGGCAGGTAGAGATGCCATCTTCTCCCTCCCGCAGGCAACAACCTCTGCTATATCCTTACCCTTAACTTGAGAAAGGAGCAGCTCAATCTTTTCATCTTCAGCTTCAGCTCCAACTGTGCGCACATTAATAATTGCCATTCAGGCATATTTCAAAAGTTCGGAGCTGATGAACCATGAAAATTCAGACACAAACTAAACCAAGCAATCACAAACCAAAAGGGCTGCCTTTGGATGTATGGTTTTAGATAGTTACGCATTGAACAAGTTAAAGACAAGTTTTCACACAAAGGGGAAAATTCCGTCAATTCTAGTTAACTAATATTGGTCTGTTTAGATTTATAACATTTAAAAACAAAAACAAAAAAATGTTTGTGGATTGGTCAATTTTGTCAAAAAGTACATATACAGACACAAGAATTGGTCGGTTTAGATTTATACCATTTGAAAACAAAAAATGTTTGTTTTTTGGTAAATTTTTGTCAAATAAGTACAGATACCAACACATGAATAAATTGATAAATCATTTTTATAAAAAAATTGACAAGTAAATTGGAAGGACACATTTATTGACATATATCTTTTTACTTTTTTTCCCCACATTTCAATTACTTTGAGGTAAAATTTTTGTTTAGTTAATGATATATTCATATGAAAAACAATGTTAAAAAAATATTGAACAATACAATAATTCAAGAGATAAATTATACAGTGTTGGTGTAAAAATATTAAAACAAAAAGACAATCAAAACCAAAACAAGATTGTTTGTAAAAAATTAATTAAATAATTTAGCATTTTATTTTATTTTATTTTATTCTAAGAAAGGCAATAATGCTTGTGCTTTTAAGGGTAAGTCTAAAATATATTTCACTATAAAAATTTACTCTCTATCCAATATTCAAATAAAAACATAAATATGTAAACAAAAGTTGTAACATTTTTTCTTTTCAATACAAACAAATATGAAGACTCTCCCAATCTCTAAACAAGAAAGATAGATAAAAGTTCAAACATTCTAGTTAAGCACTCAACCATCGTTCTAAATATCCATCGATAGCATCAGGTTTATTGTTCTATTATTTAGGTTTAGGATCATCTAAATTTGTAAAATAAATTATAAAATTACGTAAATATGCAAAGCTTTTCATAACACACTACCAACTTAAAATCTCACAAAACAACTATCAAACCTTCCAAAGTTTAGTGGTAAGAAAACCCATAATATTCACAATATTTCAGCATTATAATAGATTGCATATGGGTTTGAAGTTTTGAACCATATCCCCGACTTGACCATTAGGGCAAAGGTTGCTAAAACCAAACACGGGGCTAAATAAATGCTCTTAGACCCATGAAACACAGCTCCGATCCGTTTCTTCTTACTTGATTTCAGATCCATAGGGTTTCCAAGGCATTTAAACCAGTTTATCAACGCGAGGTAAAAGCGCCACGAAACCCACAGAACAACTAAAAACAGGGAACGAAAGAGAAAACAAACCAGAGGCGAGAATGGTCCTAATATCACGAGCAGTAGGGCTGGTGTTTCCGCCCAAAACAGCGAGCAAATAAGCAGCAACCACCTTCATCTTCTTCTGCAAAGATAGCTGAATCACCACAAAGAGGAGCAACGAAGAATGAAAGGGAGGGAAATGGGAAGAGAGCGAAAAACTCCTTGGCCTTGGAAGAGGGGAAGTTGAAAACGCAGAAGAAATGAGTGGGCTGGTGATTATAAGAGGGAGAAATCGCTGGTCTGTAAGCAGGAAAGGATTCGGTTCATAAACGGAAAAAAAACTCGTGAGAGGACTGAGGAGAGCAGCTTCCGTATGATTTCCATTTCCCAATACGCGTCACACTGGGATTTGTTCACCTCTCTCTCTCATAAATATTTTGCAGTTAACAACTGCTTCGATATGATGCGCCATTGCCATTGCCTTCGCCTTCCGCTCGCCGGTAATAACAATAACAATGTCATAAAGTATCTACTTTACTCCTTTTAATCGGATAAAACTTAATTAGGTGTCTGCAATTAAGTACGAATCTACGTTGAAAACATAAGATAAAAGATTTAATAACGATTTATAATTGACGTTAGATGTAACTTCCTAAATAGTAATAACATCGAGTGACATGCTAATTTTAAAAAATGTAGGACGACGCAAAWATGTTGAGGATATATTGTTCTTTTTATTATTTTTATTTTTTTGGGACATAATAATACTTCTAAATAAAATACCAAAACCTAATTAGTCTTCGCTGCAGCATAGTATCTCTGCAATCGGTTAATATTAGGGTTTTAATATATATAAAAAAGAGTTTAACTTCTTTTTTATTTCAATTTCTTAGTAGTTTTTAAGTGTTTGATGGGTTGAGTTTTGTTCATTTCATTTTAGGTTTCTTTTGAACTAAAAATAAAGTTTCTTTCAAGGGGCTTGTGTCCAAAATTTGGAAAAAGAAAAAACAGACACATATTAGAAATATGTTTGAACGTATCCATGTGATTCAACACAGATACTTGGTTTCCTTTTAACTGCTTACGATAGATCTATATGTAAGAAAATATATGCCTATAAGCACTCAATTTTATGCAATTTCAATAAATTCATGGATTAGTCTTTTGTAATCAAGGGGTATATGTTTTTATACACAGGTTTTTCCTTTGCTATATTATATCTATCCTGCTACAGTCCACAAGGCCTAAAGATTTGACCTCGATTGAAAGAATTTTTTCCCTAGAAAGACACACAGGATTTGTTCATATTTTCTTTTAATATCGTGAAAATATTATAAATATATATATAATTACTAATACAAGGGTAAGTATTATAACTTATAACTTATTTAAGAAAGGTAAAATCATCAATTATTGATCAAAATAAAATTTAGTTTAAAATATATTTTGGGTCATGATAATTATTTTAATGAAAAAATGATATAATTCACATTCTTACCTAACATCTATGATCTTTACTTTTTAGAACGTTTCCTTTAATCTTCAAACTTCTTTTCTTGATTAGATAATAAAAATAAAGTAAATAATTACTAGTATTTCTTTCAAACGCATTTGAAAAAAAAAAAAAGTAGGTTTT